AAGTGGAATATGTTTTGGAAGCTTTTTTTACTCATTTGCTCAGCTTCACTGATTTTTCTTTGTAATTCAGCCATTTGTGATGAGCTTATCTTCGGGCAAACTTTGATTCCATGACCACTAATCTTCAACAAATGAGCTTTCACTCCATAATATGATCCTTTGTATGTTGCATTACAAAAATTGCATTTGAATGCAATATTGCCTCCCCCTTCTGATGTTTTACCTATTTTTGTAACATGACTCCATAGAGATTTGTTATCTTCAATATTGATTTCTGATGGACCATCATCAGAACCAATTCCTACTCCACTTGAGCTCATTACCCTACAAAGGATTTATACAAATTAAAACATATGAATTTGAAACATGAAAAAATTTAAGTGAAAGTGTATATATGTTGCGACTATGCCGGGGGTCCAAGGGGGCGCTGCCCCCTGGTGGGGGTTTTAGGGGGCAACGCCCCTGAAACAAATTTTTTTTGTAAGAGTAAATTTGAATTGCTGTTTATTTTTAAAGTTGTTTTTATGAAAAGAAACCGAGCGGTACCGAGCATGTTTTAGCTTCTCGGTGCCACTTGGTACCATTCGGTACCCCTCTATACCGAGCAATACGAGCGGTACCGAGCAATACCGAGTAATACCGAGCGATACTGAGTTCCAATACCGAGCGGTACCGAGTTCCAATACCGAGAAGTACCGAGTTCCAATACCGAGTAGTACTGAGTTCCAATATTGCTCGGTACCAAGTAGTACCAAGCAATACCGAGTTACAGTACCGAGTTCCAATACCGAGCGATACCGAGTTCCAATACCGCTCGGTATCGAGCAGTACCGAGCAATACTGAGTTCCAGTACCGTTCGGTACCAAGCGATACCGAGTTTCGATACCGAGCCTATGATTAAGAAAACGAAGAACGACGAAGAAAACGAAGAACGACGAAGAAAACGAACCTTCACTGCTCACGTCGCCTTCACTGTTCGAGTTGTCGAGCCGCTCCGTCGATGAAGGATGATCCTATCGACTTTAATGCTCGCGCCGTCAAGCCTCTTTGTCGACAAAGGATAATCCTGTTTGCTTCTATGCTCACGTCAACGAGCCGCTCCTTCAACTATAACGAAGAAGATGAACACTTGTGTGGAAACGAAAAACCTAGCTCTTTGAAATGTTTCAGCCACATAAAGGAATATGGATATTGAGCGGAAACGGTGGAAAACCGAAAAGAATAAGGTAAATTGCGGCTCCGTGTTTTTTTTTAATAGGAAACGCGTATCGGATATGCGTCAAATTTAAATAGTATTTTAATTGGACACGGCAAATCCGTATCCGACACGTATCTGTGCCGTATCGAAGGCGTATCCGTATCCGACACGGGTCCGATACAGCACGCCTCGTAAATAGGAGTATCCGTGCAACATGTTACTTAATAATAAAAAGTTCATACAAGCGATATTTCTTAGAGGTTAAATGTGTCAAACATACTATTTAATATAATGTTCAAATTTTTTTTATTCTTATTAAGGGGTTGTTTAGTTGGCTAAAAAGGAATGTATTGTAAAAGTAATACTTTGGAGTTGTTCCGATGAGTGCAAAGTAAATGCAGATTAATGTTTTTTTTTTTTTGAGTAAATGAATGTAGTGTAAAGTTCAAAGATGGTGGCAGCGGCGGCGGTGGCCGACAGCGGCCGACCACACTGGTGACTAGCTGCGAGTGATAACGCCAAGTTGAGGTGGACGGTGGTAGCAGGCAACAGGAGGTGGCGGTGGCAAGCGACAGTGGCCGGTGACCGATGGCGGCGGCGACCAGCAACATGTGGCGATCGTAGCCGACGGGTGGCAACGGTTAAGCAAGCTTGCTTGCGATGACGGTTATCGCTCAAAACTGGGCGAGTTTAGTTTACCTAAAAATTGAGCTAAAATGATTTACACTACATTTACTTTGCATTCCTTTTTTCATCCAACCAAACATCAATATTTTCAAAACCCTTGCAATTGAAATATTTTATACCCATTATTTCCAACCAAATAGCCCCTAAACCAAACCCTTCATTGAAAAGAGGTCGTCCGCCAGTGAGGTTGACAAGTCGTTAAATGTTTAATGTGGTTAGATGTTCATCCAAGGGCAGGGTTCACGTCTCGCCCAAGGACGATGCTTGTATAGACAATAAAGCTAGTATCAATCCTCAAGCAATGGAGACGAAGATGGAGATACAAGAGAAACTTATTTATTTTTAAGAATAAGCCGCTATCATATTCATTTATTCTCTTAATAATCTTTAAAATCCTCTAGCGAGTTGCGGCCTTTGTAGCAGCCTTGCTTAGAGATCCACTTCCCATTGCACTGCCCAACAATCTAATATTGTGAATTCAATTAATCCCAAAGTTAGAATTGATGTTTAAATGGACAAAATGTTCACATAGGAGATATTGCTTAAAGGTGATATACGCCAAATAGCTTTATACAACTTAATTTATTATTATTATTAAAACTAACCCTTCATTAAATTGAGGTAGCCCGCCTTCTTGGTTGAAATCTATGAGTAGCTAAACATGATTTGTGACTATATGATAACCCAAGGACAAGGTTTGCGTCCTCCTGCATCTCTCCAAGGATGATTCTCATGCAGAGGAGCTGAGACGTCCTCCTGCAACTCTCCAAGGATGATTCTCATGCAGAGGAGCTGAGACGAACTTTAATCATCCAACGACAAAGATGAAGGAATTGATAAGTTTATTTTTCTTCCAAGCACCAACCATAGTGGTATTCCTTTCCTCTCCATATCAACCTAAATATCCTTAGGCAAGGTGCGGACTTCATAGTAGTGAACCTCAACAATCTCCTCTAAATTTATTATTCATCAAAATCTCCATCGTTTATCTATTAGTCATTGTGACCTCAAATATCTGTTCTATGTGTGCTACTCATTGTCAATATTCAATTTCCCGCCTTCTATAGCACTTCTAATTCGGTAATGGAGCTTGAGTAAGAAATGAAATTAGGGATTATGATAAGAACAAAAAACAAGATGTAGAGAAACACAAAAAAATGGCTATACCCTGTAGTCCTACCTCCCACATGAACTTTTCATGATTTACACATTAATTCTGAATATGGGACTAGTTTGGAACAATTATGAAGATTTAAGGGCCAAATTGGGCACATTTAACACTCCGAGACTAAAATGCCCCCTCATAAACAGCCAAGAGACTTTTAGATTTTTTTCTATATCACTAATCTAGAATTATTACTCTTAGCTAATACCGACATAAAACATGTAAAAATATTCTTTCTTATCTCGTAAAAATATTATTTAAGAATTGTAGACATCATTTCTAAGCCATAAAATGTTTGAAGCTTTTATACTTTGGGTTGATTCAATAACATTCTAGGTGTGCGATCAATAGGTTCTTGAAAACAAGAATCTTTCAATTCCTTTATAGTCATGGAAAAGTGCTGATAGTGTAGTTAATAGTTTCTTTTCTATACAAAATGTACATACCACAATCCAGAATATGTAAATCCTACCATGCATAGCAATCAAGCATAAAAAAATACTCTAATTATCATTACTTGTTTTCCGGTAAAAATAAACATATCATAGTGAACAAAAAAAACCAAATGATTAGAATCCAAACCCCAAACATGAACATGGGGGTTATATTATTTCAAATAAAGTTAATTAGCTATCCTCGTAAAAAATAATAATCAAATTCATCAAATGTCGGAAATATAGAACAGATTTTATGAATATCACAACATATGATGGGAAACATAATCCAACAATAAAAGTAAAATAAAAATCTGATAATGAAAAAGAAACCAACAAGAATAAAACCTGTGATAGTGAAAGCTCATTCCGAACGTAATGCACAATCTCTGCAAGAAGGCTATAAGCTAATGGCCTTAACGTCTCAATGCAAACTCGGCCTGTCCCAATCAAAACTCTAACAAAAACCATAAGACAAAAAATTCAGTCATCACTATTCATTGGGGATGGGTAAAACGATCTTACGCTTGTAAATATATTGGAAAAAAATACCATAAAGTAAGTATATCAACTACATTTGTTTGTAAAGCTTACAATTAACAACTTTTATAATGCAATTCTAAAGCTGCAATCTCGAGTCAAAAAATTTAACCACTGTTTTGGGATGGAAACCACTCATGGGATAGCATTAGCTACATAATAATAGTCTTTAATAAATTAAATATAGACAAAATAAAAGGCAAAAATGCTAATTTAACCTCACATGATGTATTGCATGATATAGTTAGCAATATTAGAACATAGGGTATGATAAAATAAATAATAAAAATAGTTTAACCAAGACTTTCAATGGCACTCTAATGTATGGTGTTTTTTAGGTTCTGAAATGGTTCATATCCAGTAAGTCGTAGAAATAGATATTTTGAACTTTTGACATAGGAACCTGTTCTCTATACTAAACTTATATAGGATAACCATGAAAGCTTAATTAAATGAATTTTAAAAACAAGTGAGTCTCTAATCATAAACTCTCTCATAGCTCCTTCATAAGTGCTCTCCCTCTAACTCCTCTCCCTCTATATTCACGCGTATCTCCATCCCAAAGTCTCTTGACCTCCACATAATCCACTCTCTCCCTATCATCTCTCTATATATAACAATTAAATCCCTTGCTAACTCAATAAATTTCCCTCCTTTTCCTCATCTCTTTTCCTCTTACTACAAGTATCGAGCTCTCATATTAAATTCCCCTTTTGACAAAATTTATGCCTCTAACACTTTTTTTAGCCCCATAATCTCTCTAAGAAATCACAAACTCTCTCCCCAATTGTCCTATCAAGTTTCCTTTCAGCAAGTTGCAATGCATAAGAGAACTAATCGATGTGCCAACAAAACTTAGCATAAGCACAAATGGATCTAAATATTTAAGAAATCAAACAACTATGCCACAAACATGAAAAATCTTAACTCAATCCTCTGCAAAATTGTTTTCCCCATTTTTAATAATGCAAAATCATATGCTTTCCTATGTGGATATTACTAAATTGGGAGAGCACTAATTGATTGAAATTAGACCATAGCCAAGTCCCTGGTCTTTCACTGAGATGGTCTCCCTATCTCTTTCCCTCCTCTACTTCCACGCATGTGCCGCATAGAGGGCTTTTCTCTGAGGTGAGCATTTTCGCAAGGAATCCACCCACTGCTATAAAAGAGAGTCTAGCACAATCTCGTGTATCAATTGGTGGAGCTAAAGGATCCCAGAGCTCCTTTTGGACCACAACGGAAATACCTATCCTATTGTCTACTGCCCTAAAGGATTATTGACAAATTCTTTAGAATAAAAAACTCCATTTTTGTGCGAATCAATGTTAGCCATATTAAATGAACCTTAACCAATGTTATTTCATCCCCTTAAGCACATTTTCATGAATTCAAATCAATTAAATTGTCTATCTACTGAAATTTTACAATTACCACGCAAATGCCTTTCCAGTATTGAAGTTGTTACAGAAATACCCTAACTATCACAATCCATATCAATGTGAAGGATAGACATGATGAACAAGAAAATTAGCATAAAGTCACACCTCTCCTCAAGAAGTGTGTCGATCAAAGGAAAAAGGCCTCTTTTGAGGTCTGTAGTTAGAACATGCTTCAAGGCTATCAGTAACTCCTGGAACAAAATAATCAGCAAAGAAAAACCTACTAGATCATTCAGCAAGATTGGATAAAATAAATTTAAGGAAGCTCTCACTTTTCTGATGGAAACTGAATCAGGGCATGTCACGAGTAAATTCACAATACTCTTGCAGATGCTTTCTTCGTGACTCCTTATATAATCAGCAAAGGACCTCAACAGGTAGGTCAAGAATGAAAGTGTCTACATAATAATGCCAGAAAGATTAAGAAGTAAACAGTCCGCAAACCATCGGAAAACAGGAAAAAAAAATAAACATAGGAACAGCTTACCTTGACCTGGGCACCCTTGAGCTCAACAAATTGCGTCTTCAGGTGAGGAGGGACCTTTTCAGGCCCTGGTATCGAGATGGCTGAAACCATAAGAGGCAGAAGGCAAGGGATATTGGTCTGCACAAGCTTGCTATAAAGCTGAAACATGAACATTACCACAAGCGGGCTCTCAGTCACGATCTTAAAGGACCGAGTACTCGGATTAAGCTGTCCAGCGCCAACATAGGGAACCGACGCCTGCGAAGCATCGAGTAGGGCAGTCCCGTCTTCCGCTCCAGGGCCACCTCCACCAATGAGGCTGCTGCTTCCGGCATTGGCGGCAGCAGCTGCGTTGGAGGCCGCTGTGGTGCTGGAATGGGGTTGTTCAAAGAAGTACCTAACAGTAGACGGGAAGCTTTGGTAGATGGCGCAGACGAAGTCAATGAAAGGCTGGACCTCAGACTCAACAGTGGGTCTGAAGTTGCGAAGAAGGTCGAAAATGATGCGGATGGAGATGAGGGCGTTGTCTTCGTTATCCTGGGTGAGGACCTGGAGAGACAGCTTGAGAAGATCCTGTACAAAGGGGCGAAGGACTTCGCTGTGTGGGAGCCGGTTCAGGATCTCCACCACCACGTTGCGAAGCTTGTGTTCGACGTTCTCCGTCATTTGAGGTGTGGTGATCTGCGTAAGGATCATCGAAAAGGCGCGGAAGTAGCACTTGAGGAAATTGAGGTATTCGGAAGTGTGCGCAATCTCCAGAGAGTCCCTTACTTCCATGACCATTTGCAATCGCGTTTGCACAGCTGCAATACCGAAAGCAAAACAATATTATAAATCGATTGCATGAGATAGAAAAACGAAAGGACAGAGCGATTACATAGGTCTGGCTCTATAAGGCGTTGTGCATGCTGGTCGTAGTTAGGGATTGGGCCCATGGCGGAAGAGCAGCGACGAACTGAGTCTAGGGTTCCGACGAAGTCTTAAACCTGTTTCGTTTCCTCGGCCTGAGGCCCGGTGGCCAACTTCAGCCTAGAAAAGGCGGGAGTCGCTGGCTTTGGAGTACGTCTTCTCCAGAGTAGGGAAGGCTTCAATATAAGCCACTCCCAACTAGCAAGTCTAACTCTTAAACTTCCGGTGAAGAACAGCACAAGTAGAATTTTTTAGAATGTTAGTTGAATTCTTTTAGAACTGGCCCAGATATAAATATCAAAACCTAGGGGGCCTAGGGTGTCAAAATAAGTTCCGGGTGAAGTACGAGTTCAACACAATTCTTCTTGGCCTATTGGTTGAGAGCTTAGGCTTCCAACTAAGAGGTCCAAGGTTCGAGTCTATGTGTATGCATTGTGTGTGTGAGCTTGCCTTAAATGGCCTAAATGTCCCCAAAAAAAAGTACGAGTTCATTCTTAAACAGACTCGACACTATTTGATCCAACTCGAATCCGATGGTTACTTTCTTGGACTCGAACCCAACCTAGTTAGAATTTGGGTCAACCCGACATGACCTGTCAAATCGGCTTTGAACCAACAAATAGTAGGTTTCATATTAAGGGCAAATTTTATTTAGTCTACAACAATTTAAATTGGACATATTACATGTTTACATTTTGCTACTTTGTTGAATTACGAATCAGTTTACAAAATACAAAAAATTTACAACAAAGTCGAATATGGAGTACATTAGTTTTCACTTTATTGATTTGCTCAATTGGCTCAGATTAATCCTTTAAATTATTAATCAACTAATGAATTATAAGTGTAATAAATATTACCATCCAATGTGGTAGTTTGTATTAGCTTAGTTATTATATGTTCAATTATGTAGTATCTGCTCATTCTAAGAGTACATAAATGTCACCTAGTTGTAATAGCACTTATCCTGATTCAATTCACATTTTCAATTAAGAAGGTTTTTCATCATTAAAGAAAAAAGAAGGTTTATCATCACTGCTTCATAAAGTTAAAATGTAATATAACAACAGGTTTTAGCAATACAGCAACCCGCCAACCCTTAAGACTCAAATAACAAACATACAGCATATTTGATCCAAACAACAAGTAAGCAACCCAAAACAACACAACATATCAACAGACGTAGGTAATAACACAGCAGTCGTAAGTTGTAATTTGAAGAATTGATAGCTAGCAGACATTATGAAAACTTTAAAAGCTATAAGCCAATAACATAGTAGCCGTAAGATGCTAGCTAGCAAACATTATAGAAGTCCAGCATGAGGAAGCAAAGCAAGCAACCAAGTGCAAGAACTTGGGCAGACTATAACTGAAAGTCTTATAACTTAATAAAATGTTAGATGATGGTAATGTTAAAAAAGGAAACAAATCACCCGACTACCGAGTTCTTTAACAAACAAAATATTAAATATTTTACATATGATTTGGTTGTATTATGTAACCATAAGAGGCTACAAAATGGCAGCTTCTATAAGATTAGTTTGTTTGTTTGTATTTATGTAAATAAACTAAAAGCATCTAATAACTAAACTTTTACCCTGCTCCCCATCATTTAGGTTCACATCTAAACTGAGGATATCATCAATAACAACATCAAGTTCGAGGTCATGTCCTACTGCAACAAATAAAAAAAATAGATTTGAGCTCTTACAAAACACTTGAGACTTGTAAATGTACTATATACAAATGGAATAGTTTAGAAAGATGAACGATAAAGCATCATGTTATCCGTATAACAAATCCTTTACACAAACTAGTTCCTCAACAATGTCATGCTTTAATGCACTTCAATATTGATTGAGAATTCTACTGATATTGTTGAAGGCACTTTCAGATGATACTATAATTATTGGAATGCACAATATATCACGAGCCATACCAAAAACACCAGGAAATCTATATTAGTTGCGTTGCCACAATTTTAATATATATGAATCAATCTTTCTATCAAGTTTGGTTCATCAAGATAAATATCTAATTCTGATTTTCTAGGCATTATGACTTCCTGCTTTTGAAACTCATTAGAATTCAAAAAATAAAAAATTTCATGTTGGAAGGAGTGAAGACACTAGGCTACTAGTAAAGAAATATTATTTGTAGAAATTGTGACTTAATCATAGGTGATGATGTGCCCCTTGATGCGATACCTTGTGTCATTTTAGATGCATGTGAATGTTGCCTTGATGAACCATTCCCTCTTGAACTCTAGTTTGCAAACAAGGAGATTAACTTAAGTCTAACCTCTCTTAATTCGAAGAGATAATCCCCTCCATATAGCATCCTATAACACCACTCAACGAAAGTAAATTTATATATTGGATCTAAAATGATAGCTTTTGCCAATATATCCCTTAATTCTTACCAATATTTCTCAAGCATGCCAATCATCATTGTAGCCATTTTCTTTATGTATTGATGGTCAATTAACATTTCATTTTTCAATTATGCATACATTGTCGAAATACATGAAAAGTATAAATTTATTGTTGGATACCTTAATCCAGAAATGACACAAGTGATCTCATAGAAAGGAGCCAAGGATTTGTAAATAGCCTATACTTTTTCCCTTTCAAGAGTAGTAGGACAATTCTTATAATTTGAATCAACCAACTCTAAATGTTGAAAAGTTTTGATAATAGATAGCACTATCAAACATAATGAAAGTGGAGATCAATCTACTTGGAACATACTAACACAAACCTCTCTTTCCATCTAGGAAATTATGTTTAACACAATCAAGAAACATTTGCTTCCTTACTTGAGAGCCTTTCGCATACTTAGTGCCCTCTCTGGTTTTTATTGTTTAACCACAATCTCCTTCATACCATCTTGCACTAATTAATAATATGAGCAGTACAATGCATATGAAAAAATCACCATCACATAGCAAGTCACCACAAAAATTTAAATGATTTCTTAGAAAATCAATTGAAATATTATTTGCAGAAGCTTTATCCAAAGTAATACTTAAAAGCCTAGACTCTATTTTTCACTCCATCAAAAGAGAATGTAGTTTCTCAAAGAAAGCAATTCCATCATAAGGGGTGTCATGAAAAAAAAATGATATTTTTTTACAAGTGTCAATCATTATCAATAAAATGTACTATTAAGCATATAAACCCATCATTATTTATAAAAGTTCATAGGTCTAATGTTAAGCAAACTCTGCTAGTAAACTTAGCTAATTATGCATTTATATTACATTTTTTCGTAGTGAATATTTTTTTACAGTCATTTTGTACGGTATTTCTAGAAAATAATGATAAGTTCCAATGAAGATACATCAAAAGTGCTCAAACTCTAACCCATTTAACACACTAAAAGGGAAAATCATGAATGATGAATGAGCAGCAAACAAGTCACAAAATTCTGCTTGGTCAAATTTATTATCAAACAAAGACATGGATGACTTAGAGTTTATTTGTAAGATCAATTGTCATATACAACACATATTTCTTTTCTTTCATTTTTTATGGTGGTGTTTAGATTACAGCTCCATTTTTGAAATCACATAAATACGTAGCGCCATATTTCTTACATTTACACTTTTGCTTACCATCTTTTGTAATAAGAAATATCTCAAAATGGCCACAGAAAGCTAAAGTCATCCTTCTCCGCTTTTTAATAATTATTCCCCTTGTGTCCCCTCGTTACATACATCGTTAAATAACTCTATAACATTTTTAGAAGCCCAAACTTCTTCATTTTAATCAAAAGAATAACTCTCATGAATGGTGTTAGAATCCTCCATCTAGCCAAAATATAATAATATATTACAATGCAAATATTTAACAATTTCTTAAATGTCATATTCAAAATATAAAAATTATAACTATATAACACATTAACTAATATTCCAGCAAACTGAAATGGGCAGTACAACTAGTTGCAACTTTGTTTTCATAACTATGTTTTTATATATCATGTGTATTTTTTAAAAATTTTTCCAAAATCTTATTATATTGATTTCTGTTTCTCCTAACATATATTGGAAATTTTGCTTTTGTTGTTTTTGTGTACTAACGTTTCAGGGAAATTATACTCCAGACTGCTGAAGACTTCAAGACAGATTAGATTAAGGTTTATTGTATTTAAAGTATATAATTTTTTTTCTTTTTCTTGAGTTTAAGAGTGTAATTATAATTGGGTAATCGTGCACACACACTGAGGGAGTGAGTAGAAACTTTAGATTTGTTTAAATATTTTATATTGTACGATGTATGGTTCGTACAGACGACTCATAGAGTACGAAAAGGTGGTGTACATAATCATATCAGATGAACTTATTAAGTTTTTAAATTATTCATAGATTATGATGTCAGTTTGTGCAAATGATTGATAGAGTATGAAATCAGGTTTGTCCATGATCATACATGGATTTTTGAATTGTTCGTACGGGACGATATATATTTTGTACATATGACAAAATTGACTTCGTACCAATTCGTATAGACAATTTTGAATTGTTCATACAGATGGATCGTATGGGACTATATGTAATCGTACAATATGATCGTAAGACAGTTTTCTTGTAATTTTTAGTTCTTGGATTGTTTTTTATGTCCTTTATAAATGAGTCCTAAAAAGTAAAAACTATCACTAAACACCTTTGTTGTGAATTTCTCTTAAGAGTTTCCATTGAGTGTGAGTGTTTAGGAGAGATTGTGAGAGTGAAGTATGAGAGATCAAGTGAGGGGGAGTTGAGAGGGATTCACAAGGTTGCCCAAAGTGAAAATCTCTTTATCTCCTTCAAGTTTATGTCCATCTCCTCTAGAGGCTCTTAAGTGAAGTTCTTTAGCATTAGTCGTGGGTTCTCTGCTTCACCAGGTGGGTGAAAAAGAATGATGATTCTTTTCCTTCATCAGAAGGGTGAAAAAGGATGACGGTTCTTTGCCTTCACCAGGGAGGGTAAAAAAGGATAACTGTTCTCTGCTACAACGGGTTGGTGGGAGAGAGCTTGTAAGAGATTCTTCACCTTGCTGTGGGAGCAAAAGGAGTGTCACTATTGTTTAGTGCAATATCTGAAGAATGAGTCTTTAGAGAGTGGATGTAGGTCTAGTTAGATCGAACTAATGTAAAATTTGATGTTCTTCTGTTCTCTTTTATTTTCTGCATTTTTATTTTACGCACTTTAATATTTTATGGTTGAAAAATCTTTTGTGAAAATCATATTCAAACAACTGCATATTTTAAGG